TTAGTATTTAGGCTTAGCGTCCAGCTTTAACTCTTCTCTGTAGAACGATTAACGGCATTCGCCTGCTGTGAATTCGCTCACTTCTATGAATTGTGACCATGGAGTCACAGTGACAATCGAATGAAGGGAATGTCAGAACCATAGGAGCGACAGAACCTAGGACGCTACACGACAGCCGTGTTCCGCACTTAAAGGCGCAATGAACGATATTACTTAAGTATATAGTTCCAGACGAATAATGAAAGTGGTAGTAAAGAGCAAAGCAAAAAAGAGCGAAAATCAGGATATTCAAAGAGATTGAAGCCTCAAAAAAAGTAGTGAAATTAGGGATCGGACGGGAACGTGACCATAAAAGTCCATAGAAGTGGTATTTGGGAGAGCTTCCCAACTGTTTGTGCCACTGCGTACAGCGGCTAGAGGAGGCTGCTCGCTTTCAATATTTTGCTCCCGGTGCGAGTGCTGCAATCCCTATAGTCTCTACAACGCCGTGATGACTCGCTCGCCTTGGGTGTGCACTCGGCTAGGCCGGTTATTGGGACCCTCAGTATGCCCTGTCTGGGCCGTTTTTTGACATGAGCGTCCCATGTACTATCCTTGGAGGTCACAGTTTTATTCTTCAAGGAATTCAGGAGCCATTTTTGGTGGTGTCTTCAATGTCAGAGCTGCATGCAAACTAATGCCCTTCAACACTACTGACGCTACTGACGCTTAATGAGACTTCGTAGGCTAACTTCCAGGCTTCAACCTAACTTCTAAACATTTAAATGAACAAAAATATTTGCAAACCTAACCAGTCTGCCTAGAATACATTAGTGCGCGTGACAACAAACCATATTTCTGAGCAGAACTACGAATAGTTCCTCCTACTCCACCCACATCACCCACCTGAATTACCACAAACATTTGACCACCTCCTCTTGATAACCCGTAAATACTCGTTCCTTGGTTCTACAGCGTTTCCAGGCAGAGTAACGAATCTTCTTTTTTGAAGCATCATTCATTTGAGTTCACCCCTACTTCTTCCTAGGCTTTAGGTATACCTAGTACAGTTGAGACGTTGCTCATCTCTATGGATTTTCGATTTTTCCTTAGCCTTCAGGTTTTGGGGAAATCGAATAATGATAATACTAGTTAGTAACGCCCATTTTGAGGACGCCTTCTTCACCAACCGCGGGTGGGTCTCCAATTATTTGTTGGCCCATTCTTTATGTTTGCTCATCCTCCCCAGTTTTGGGCTGCTCCAAAAAGGAGCAAAAGCCAGAGAAACTCAGAAAGGCGTCAAGCTCTACTACAACGGAGAAGGAATCAAACGAATGAAGGCCCTAGCAATAGTCTCTGGGAATCTATCAAAAAGATTAGCGATCTAATCACGGTAATGAGGATAGGCTTGAAGGAGGGGTACTGAGCAATAATATTTGTGTACGCACCACAAGCCTGCTGCCTTGAGTGCAAAAAGAAAGAGAACTCTTCCCAAGTCTTGACGACCCCATTAGGTTAGTACCGAAGGGTCGATCTCACCATGGAGGATGATCTGAATGGCCTCTTTAGCTCTAAACGAGAAGATCTCTGAAGAATTCACAGAACAGGTGAATAGAGCCAACAACGAAGAGGATAGAGTCTTGCACCTAGCCACAGCCCACGGCCTTTATCTCGGAGAGGGAGAGTTAGAAGGTAAATTGTTGCAGCAAAGGATGACAAACGAAAATCAATCATACACACTCAGGTAACCGTCCCTCAAAACTATGAAGGACATCAAGATCTGCCGGGCGGAGAACTAGCTTCGCAGCACAGGTCTTTCCTAGCACACATAACCATTGAGCTCCCCAGAAAATCATGAACAAGAATAGAGCGGAGGATCATCTTAGGAAAGCTGCACCAAGTGGAAAACGATCTCAACCGAAGAATTCTGCAGATCGGTCTTTCAAATCCCGAAAGACCGATCAAGCTGGCAAAAGATGGAAGGTCCAAAAGACTATTCACGGAACTTGCGAGAAACTTGTCACTGATTTTCAGCGAGAGCAACAAATACAAAAATGGACGCCTCATACGAGGAGCTCAATGTTCGAGAAGGATAGGAAAGTTTTACGGTCGCCCAAAGCACGACATTGAGCCAGGCGTTCTAGACATCGAAGCAGCGAGAGCTGTAACTTAAAGCGACGGCGTAGTCTTGAGAAATCAAAGTGAGCTCAGGCGCAGAAGGAAAGAATATTTCGACAAGCTCTTAAATGAAGATTTTCATCGCGAGAATAGCCCATATAGAGCAGTCGGCCGGTCCTATCGCGTTCTGGACAGAAGATGAGGCCCAAGAGGGCGAATGGGGTGCGAATCGAGGCATGTAAGGCGTTCGAAGAGCACGGTATCAGATGGCTTACCCGGTTCCTAATAATTGTGACTGCTGGAAGAAGAATTCGATTATGCGTGGAAAAGCCATCCTCATAGTTCGACAGAAGACAAAGAAACCTTGTAAAAAGAAGAGACCTTGCTACGTAGCCTTTCTCAATCTGGAGTGAGATTCCAACCGCCCTCTACGATCAATCCTTTGGTAGGTGTCCTTGAGCGTAACTCTCCGGAACACCTGGTCTTTATGGTAACAGACATCAAGCTTGAGATGCAACAAGAATCAGAACACAGAAAAACCCATGGATGGACCACTGAAAACTATCCTTCATACTAAAGACAGCTCTGACAGCGGAGAGGAAAGAAAAAATACAAGAAAGGCTACAGGAATGGCAGAAAAGGCTAGCGAAAAATAGTTTCTGCTGAAATTTTGGCCAATTTCCTCAGCTCTCGAGGTGCATGAGGTCAGTCGTAGATGGTCTTGAGAGGCCATTGACAGGGTGCAAGTTTTCCAATATTTGAGAAGCCACTGACAGGGTGCAGGTTTTCTGATACTTGGGAAGTACCTCACAGCAGACAATAGCATGGATCAGGCTGTAAAGCTCGAATAAACGCAGCATGAATGAAGTGAAGAGAGTCCTTTGCTACCTTCGCAACCAATGGCGCTCTACGACGCTGAAGGAAAGGTGCACCGAACATTAGTGAGATTCCCGATGCGCCACGGCAGCGATTGCTGGCCCAAAAATCATGAAAGATATCTTCACTCAGCCAAAATGAGGATGCTCTGGTAGCCTGTGGTTGAACATTGTAAGACAAAATTAGAAACGAAGACTAAGGGCGTCATACAAACAACAGCCCAACGAAAGATGAGCGAGAGCGTCCGTACCAAGCCAGCATCTGGGAAGGTATGGATGCACAATGAGAAGGTCAGTCATAATTCCATAAGGAATGCAGTGGAGTCCGATGCTCAAAAAACGACCACAGGGAGCCCGAAAGAAAAGATGGACGTACGAGACCAAGAGCCTCTTCGAAGCCAAGGCATCGATAAAAGATGCATCAAGTCGCATTATGTTGCGACAGCTAAAATATCAGCAGACCCTACGACGACGCTGAATTGACACTACAGAAAAGAAGAATTTTGGCCTCTTACGAGAACAAGTTGTGAAGTTAAACTTCATTGAGCTCACTAGCGCTCTGCTGAGTTGTCCCATACTCCATCAGAGCGAGCTTGACTCGGCCTCTCAAGGTGCTTCGTGAGGTCAGGCAGAGCTTCTTGACAGAGGGCTTCATACATAGTGCAGGATCAGCTCGCTCGCTACACCCTTACCATAGCTCCGTGCACCCATCTCACAGGAATTTTCCTGAAAACTTGTTGTTTGCTTTAATCTACCCACCACAATTACAAGCCACTATGTAACTGGTTACTTGCTGCGACTCATGCGAACCTGATCTCTCCCCTATATTCTCAAGATAGCACGCATTATGTTGAAACACTGTAGCAGTTGGGCTCCAACGGCAAGTCGGAGACTATGAAAGAATGTATGACTAGTCCACTATTACAGCTCGCTCCAAAAATTTGGGAATAAGGATCTGGACCCTTGCCACCTTCCTGCAAAACTTTTCCCACAGAGTTCGCCATACTCTTTTATAGCACTGCACTCTGGTAGCGAAGAGAGGATTCAATTTGATGCTGCTAACGCCATTTCTTCACCGCACGAACTCTCTCTATTCCCTGCAGTGTAATTTGCTACAGCTTTTCCAACCTTGTGACATTTAGCTGCGCATACACAGCCTACTATCCCAGTACTGCTGCCATGGATAGACATCGATACCACTATGAAGACTCACAAGGGTGAGTGACCACGACAATGGCTAGATTTGCAACCGCAATTCCATATCACTTAATATACGTACTACAAAAATATACTTATTTTTGGCAAGAAAAATCCTTTTTCAATTGGCAAGAAAAATCCTTTGATATAACGTTCACAGTATGTATGAGTAAATGCACTAACTCCGTTGTAGTGGCTGTTAGCAACATGATTTTCATTAGAGAGTGTGGACTTTTGCAACACCTAACTGATGCGAAGCAGAAGTAGCTTGCTACCACCATCTCAGTGCCTAATATGAATGAAACTTCACCTCGTAGCACCCATATCGGTATTCTATGCCCAGATTTTTTACATATTCCCTCCTCTCCTGCTGTATCTTCTCCATTTCCTTGAGATCCATCTCGACCTGCGCAATAATGTTCTTCTTCCATAGCAAGGCGAATTACCATTCAAAAATGTTGGGTAGTAATATTAAGTGATTATTCACAAAATATTTCTCCAATAATAAAGCAGAGGCAAAATTTTATTATAAACACCAAATCGTCAAATATTTTATAAATACACTCTAATGTATGGAAAAAAACACCAGTATAATCAACGCATACAACAGTGACGTAATTCATTAGTAAACGAATACCGCAAGTAAGACGGAGCATCCCATTCTACATACTCTGCCAACACATAGCATTAACTCTCAAAAGTGGAACTCTACCGAATCAACATGCCGTCTTTCCTCGCGAAATTGCGGAAGTTCAACTATCACAAAAAGGGTGACAGACAAGATGGCTTCAGGTGAAAATCCGTAAACAACTCGAAGCGAAAATGTATACATCACATGTCATCTTCCTGAACAGAACTTTATATATTACATGATTATTATACATCAATATCTTTTTATAAATAATTTTCTACAGAGTGTCTGTTCATGTGTCTGTGTTCTGTGCGTCTGTGGGTGTAGGTGGGTAAGGGGTGTGGATGTCTGCCTGCGTATCTGTCTGTGTATGTGCCTGTAAGATATCAGGTATACTGTATATATATGTGCCTGTGTCTGTCTGGTCCCCTTGACTGAAACCTCACAAGAGCGCACAGTTGGCCGGTGCCCACAATCCTTTTCGCCTCGGTTACAGTACTAGCGTAACACTTGTTTACACGTAGCACTGTGCTAATATCTTGTCATAATGATATTGTTACGTGTGGCCCTCTAACTACATTCTCACCAAGTCTGTCTGTCCGTGTCTGAATCTGCGTATGTGCACGTGTATGTAGGTAGTATATACATGCGTATATATGTGTACGTGCATGAGCATGTGTGTATGTGTGTTGTATGTGTGTGTTGCGGGTGTGTTGCGATTCGTGCGATTCTGGGTGCGCGCGGCGAAACTCGGTGCGATTTGGACGACTACAGCGTTTACCATTGGGGCCCAAATTCGAAGTAAACTAGGTTAGTAGGATTGTCCGAACCT